ACTAATATAGAACCCACTTATGACCCTGCCTATTAGCACAATATTATCATTATCATTATCATGTTTATTTATACCTCAATTTTCTCTCCACAAAAGAAACTCAAAGTGCAAAGTGGTGCCAACGTGAATCTTTCAAAGATATTTTCTTAGGCAGCTTGTGTGTTTAAAAGACTTTTGGCAGGGAAAGTGTCAGTGTGATTTTAAGTGTCAGGATGTAATGAGTAAACTTCCTCATTATTTGAAAAGCATTCTGCAGCATAGTTAGTCCCAATATCTAACCCACAAAGCACATACATTTGTTTCTTGGCTTGCAAAGTGAGGCACAAATATCTGACTGCAAGTGAATGGTTAACAGGTAAGTTACTGTGAATCCAAACAATTCCTAAAACCATCATTATGTAACATGGTTTTTGTTCCTGGGTTATAAATGCCATTTCCTAATTGGCTCTATCATTAAAATATGGGAAAAGTTTATTAAACTGTAAAATCTTTGTTTTTATGGGACATCCTGCAGCACATTTTGCTACAGTTTTTCAATAAACATCTTATAAAACCTCAACCATAAAACCATCCTGTCCAACCCTGTCAAGAAGCAGGAAAATCACATCCAAAGCACTCCTGACAGATGGCCATCCAGTCTCTGCTTAAAAGTTTCCAAAGAAGGAGTTTCCACCACACTCCTCTCAGCCTTCTCTTCTGATAAACTTGCCCAGCTCTTTAAGCCGCTTCTCATAAGGATTGTTCCAGAACAACTCTCGCAGTCAGGAAGTTCTTCCTAATGTTCACATGGAACCTCCTTTCCTGTAGTTCAGTGGTTCCTAACCTTTTTGACCAGGGACCACTCTCCAACATTAGTACCAAAGGGTTACAAATCAGTTTTTGGTTAACTTGAGATTTGGTTTGGTTATTTGGGGTGCTGATTCAAAACATCGCATTGGATAGACCACATCAGCTCTAGTTTCTGATACAGAACATATGCTATCCAATAGTTGCTATCTACTCACCCAGGGAAAACCATATTTAATTACCTAGAGCTGATGTGACCTTTTGTGGGTAGTCAGCCTCTCCCTTCCCAACATCCCCATTGCCTCGGGTCTATAAGAGGATTTCGCAAAACCACTTGCTTTCGTTGCCACATGACTTTGAGGTGTAGTAATTGTGAGGCCACAGACCGTATTTTTGTTCTTGTTGACCACTGGTGGTCCACAGACCACAGGTTGGGCATCACTGCTATAGTCTGAAGCCATTGTTCTGTGTCCTAGTCTCCAGAGCAGCAGAAAACAAGCTTGCTCCCTCCTCCCTATGACTTCCTCTCATGTATTTATACATGGCTATCATGTCTCCTCTCAGCATTCTCTTCTTCAGGCTAAACATGCCCAGCTCTTTAAGCAGCTCCTCATAGGGCTTGTTCTCAGACGCTTGATCATTTGAGTCACCCTCCTCTGGACACATTCCAGCTTGTTGACATCTCCCTTCAATTGCAGTGCCCAGAATTGGACACAGTGTGATTCCAATTGTGGTCTGACCAAAGCAGAATAGAGGAGTACCATGACTCCTTGGATCTAGATCAGTGGTTCTCAACCTTCCTAATCCCTTAATACAGTTCCTCATGTTTTGATGACCCCCAACCATAATTTTTTTTGTTGCTACTTCATAACCGTAATTTTGCCACTTATGAATTGTAATGTAAATATCCTATATGCAGGATGTATTTTCATTCACTGGACCAAATTTTACATAAATACCCGATACACCCACATCTGAATACTATTGGGGTTAGTTTTGTCATTTGGGAATTGTAGTTGCTGGGATTTATAGTTCACCTACAATCAAAGAGCATTCTGAACCCCACCAATGATGGAAATGAACCAAAATTGGCACACAGATTTCCCATGACCAACAGAAAATATTGGAAGGGGTTGGTGGCCACTGACCTTGAGTTTTGGAGTTATGCTTCTCCTACATTCAGAGAGAACTGTGGACTCAAACAATGATGGATCTGGACCAAACTTGGCATGGTCTTTGGTGACCCCTCTGACACTCCCTCGTGACCCCTCCAGGGGACCTGACCCCCAGGTTGAGAAACGCTGATCAGACACTAGACTACTATTTTTGCAGGCCAAAATCCCACTGGCTTTTTTTTTTGCCACCGCATGACATTGTTGGCTCAAGTTTAACTTGTTTTCCACGAGGACTCAAAGATCTTTTTCACATGTACTGCTGTCGAGCCAGGCATCGTCCCCCATTCTGTATCTTTGCATTTCATTTTTCTGCCTAAATGGAGTATCTTGCATTTGTCACTGTTGAACTTCATTTTGTTAGTTTTGGCCCATCTCTTTAATCTGTTAAGATTGTTTTGAATTCTGTTCCTGTCTTCTGGAGTATTGGCTCTCCCTCCCAATTTGGTGTCATCCAATCCTACATAGTTTGTGGCATCCACAAAAACAAAGTTTCTGGAGTATAGTAACTACTTGCAAAGTAAGTACAGCACATTTAAACAGGAAATAATCCTTTCAAACCAGGAACAGGAAAAAAATCCAAATTTTGTGACATAGTTTAAGAGTCCATCAATTCTAGAGCTTTTAAATGCCGCTTTGCTCTTGTTAGCAGGCCACAACCTTCAAAACTAGTATGAACAACTCTGTAACCTTTATAGGAACCACACTTGTGCCATGGTGCAAAATGGTGGTATTGTGAGGAAAGGAGCTGTCCTTCTGCCGGACTACAATCTGATAACTTTGTAAGATTAGCATTGCAAGTTTCTTCAGGCAGAATGATATCAGGGAAGGAACTTGGCAGCCAGTTTGGAAGAAGAATTTCCTTCGCCATCAGTTTTGCAACTTAGGCGACAACAGAGACAGAGCAATGATCCTGCTAGTAATTCCCATCCAAAAATCTATGTAAGCACTTTTAGAGACTTCTTGTCATTGTCTACACCAGCAATATAATTTGGCTAAAATTCAAGGGTAGGATGCATTATAATCCTTTCCTCGACCCCTTTGCAATTTGGATTCATTTTGCATTGGACAGAAGACGTGAATGTACGCTCACTTACCCGTCCCTCGATTCTCCCCCAAATTTATCCTCCTATTAGATAAGAAGCCAATTGATTTCTCACCCAGATCCTCACAATCCAATCATAAACGGTTTATTTTTCAAAATCATTTTTCAGATCCTTCACAAATGAATGGTCCCCTGATCAGTTCAAATGCCAAATGTTTACTCCTACTGACCCGCCCCATATATCCATCTTCTCCATATTGCCCAGACCATTAAATTTGTCCATCCTCTCGCATATACATTTCCCATCCAAATCGTTCCAAATCAATTTCCATGTAATTAAACCTCGCTCAGACACGGTCTTCCCTCCACCATGCTTCCAAAGGGAAGAAAACACCTGGCTTTATCTTGAATTCTCATACAAAATAGTCTCCTGGGCAAAAGCAAACCAATTCTAATCTCAACCTGCCTGCTGGGAATTAGATGAAATATTCACTCATTCATTCTATATGTGTCTTTCTCCAGGTGCAGAACTATAAAAATGCACTGAGCATCTACAGAGTGTTTTTTCTCCACCTCATCCCCCTTAATCACAACCAGTCTGGGGTTCCATATAGGAAACAATAAAGAATGCCTGAAGCATGCACAGAGTGCTTTTCCATAGGCCCTTGCTAGATCTGAATGTGTTTGTGTGTGTGTGTGTGTGTGTAGCATAGAATCACAGAATTGGAAGAGACCTTGTGAGCCATCAAGTCCAACCCCATTCTACCAAGAAGCAGGAAACTCGCATTCAGTCACCCCTGACAGATGGCCATCCAACCTGCTTAAAAGCCTCCAAAGAAGGAGCCTCCACCCCAGTCTGGGGCAGAGAGTTCCACTGCTGAACAACTCTCACAGTTAGGAAGTTCTTTGTCATGCTCAGATGGAATCTCCTTTCCTGTAGTTTGAAGCCATTGTTCCGCATCCTAGTCTCCAGGGTAGCAGAAAACAAGATTGCTCCCTCCTTCCTATGACTTCCCCTCACATATTTATACATGGTCCTCATCATGTCTCCTCTCAGCCTTCTCTTCTGCAACCTAAACATGCTCAGCTCTTTAAGCCGCTCCTCATAGGCCTTGTTCTCCAGACCCTTGATCATTTTAGTCGCCCTCCTCTGGACACATTCCAGCTTGTCAATATCTCTCTTGAATTGTGGTGCTTAGAATTGGACACAATATTCCAGGTGTGGTCTAACCAAGGCAGAAGAGAGGGATAGCATGACTTCCCTAGATCTGGACACTATGCTCTTGTTGATGCAGGCCAAAATCCCATTAGCTTTTTTTGCCGCCACATCCCATAGGGCTTATTCTTCAAACCCTTGGCCAGGGCTCAAAGCTATGGGATACTGGGCGTTGCAGTTTTGCAAGGTCTTTAGCCTTCTTTGTCAAAAAGGGCTGGTGCTTCAGTAAACTGCAGCTCTCGGGATTTTAGAACTGTGGCCAACTTGGGCCCTCCGGGTGTTTTGGACTTCAACTCCCACCATTCCTAACAGCCGGTAGGCTGTTAGGAATGGTGGGAGTTGAAGTCCAAAACACCCGGAGGGCCCAAGTTTGCCCAGGCCTGGTGTAGACGCACCCTAACGCCTGACTTCCTCTGGAAACTTTTCTTTGCGTGGGAGCCGTTCAGAAAGAGAAACACGTGCGTGGCGGAAGATGCTCTTCCTCCGAATCAGTTCCGCCCTTCCGTGTGGACACCTTAAAATCGGATTGAACCGGTCGATGAGCTAAAGAGGCTCTCTCTTCTCACGAATGCTGTCTGGCACCACTTGAAGAGCCTGGGAATCCTGAGAGTTGTAGTTTTTCCCCATGCCTGTCGCCTCCTCTGCCGAAGAGAGCCAAACTACACCTCCCAGGATTGCACTGAAGATCGAGACGCGCGCACCTGGACCCCCCTCTCCTTCTCCTTCCCTTCCACGTGGAAACCAACTCCTCGCCCTTTGTACTATTCCTCCTCCGACTCACCAAGTGCAGAGCTTCGCCTTGAGCCGGAGCAAGAGGCGGCACCGGGATCGCGAAGGGGAGACCGCAGTATTGGCCTCCCCCGGTGGTGTGGCTGTTCTTGATGTTGTTGTGGATGTGGTTGCTGTTGCGGCAGGGTTGCCGTTCTCCGCGCCGGAGCCGAAGCCTTCCTCCATGGCCACACAGGCTGGGATGAAACGCGGAGGAAGAAAGGAGGAGGGAGAGAAAGGAGGGAGGGAAGGAAGGAAGGAAGGAGGAGCCTTGCGGATGATGATGGTGCTGATGATGCGGTTCTCTCGCCCCTCCTCGATGAAGATTGCTCTTGGTGGCAAGCCAGAAGGTGCATCTAGACCAGGCATGGGCAAACTGGGGGCCGCATGCTAGTACTCCCTATTTAGAGGACTGGCTTTCCAAGGACGAAAGGAAGGAAGGAAGGAAGGAAGGAAGGAAGGAAGGAAGGAAGGACGGAAGGAAGGAAGGAAGGAAGAGTAAAAAATGGGCTTATGAAGGAAGGAAGGAAGGACTGTGGTGCAGCTGGCTGGGAGTCATAGAATCATAGAATCAAGGAGTTGGAAGAGACCTCATGGGCCATCCAGTCCAACCCCCTGCCAAGAAGCAAGAATATTGCATTCAAATCACCCCTGACAGATGGCCATCCAGCTGCATTAAGATCACTACTGACCGAAAGGTCATGAGTTCGAAGCCAGCCCGGGTCCGAGTGAGCTTCTGACCAATTTGTGTAGCTTGTTGTCGACCTTAGAATCATAGAATCATAGAATCAAAGGGTTGGAAGAGACTCCATGGGCCATCCAGTCCAACCCCCTGCCAAGAAGCAGGAATATTGCATTCAAATCACCCCTGACAGATGGCCATCCAGCCTCTGTTTAAAAGCTTCCAAAGAAGGAGCCTCCACCATACTCTGGGGCAGAGAGTTCCACTGCTGAACGGCTCTCACAGTCAGGAAGTTCTTCCTCATGTTCAGATGGAATCTCCTTTCTTGTAGTTTGAAGCCATTGTCAGCTGCATTAAGATCACTACTTACCAAAAGGTCATGAGTTCAAAGCCAGCCCAGGTCGGAGTGAGCTTACGACCAATTTGTGTAGCTTGTTGTTGTCATTTGCAGGCCCAAAAGACAGTTGCATCTGTCAAGTAGGAAATGTGTTGTTATTGTTCATTCATTCAGTCATCTCTGACTCTTCATGACCTCATGGGCCAGCCCACGCCAGAGCTCCCTGTTGGCCGTCACCACCCCCAGGTCAATCTAGTCACTTCAAGGATGGCATCCATCCATCTTGCCCTTGCTCGGCCACTCTTCCTTTTTCCTTCCATGTAGGAAATGTAGGTACCACTTATGTGGGGAGGGTAATTTAACTAATTTACAAGGCCATAAAAATCTGCAGCAAGCATGCAAAGAATGAGAAAGTACTTCATCAGAGTCACAAATGGACGGTGAAGTGACAGCTCCCCTGGTGGCCAGAATACCCTCATGAAAAAAACTGGATTGTTAAATAGCATCTGAGTGCCTGTCTATATATGTTGTGTGTCTATGGCATTGAATGTTTGCCATGCATATGTACATTGTAATCCGCCCTGAGTCCCCTGCGGGGTGAGAAGGGCAGAATATAAATACTGTAAATAAAGAAATAAATAAAAGAGGGAGAAAGGGAAGGAGATAAGGAGGAAGGAAAGAGAAGGAAGAAAGGAAGGACGAAAGGGTGGAAGGAGGAAGGAAGGAAAGCGAGAAGGAAGTAAGAAAGGGAGGAAGAGAAAGATGGAAGGAAGGAAAGGAGGAAGGAAAGATCAGGCATGGTTTCAAATTACAGGAAAGGAGATTCCACCTGAACATTACGAGAACTACCTAACTTTGAGAGCTGTTCAACAGTGGAACTCTCTGCCCCAGAGTATGGTGGAGGCTCCTCCTTTGGAGGCTTTTAAACAGGCTGGATGGCTATCTGTCGAGGGTGCTTTGAAGGCGATTTTCCTGCTTCTTGGCAGAATGGGGTTGGACTAGATGGTCAACAGGGTCTCTTCCATGAAATAGCAACCTTATTCATGCCTCCATTAGTTATTTGTTTGTATATAATTCAGATTGCTTACTGTACCTTGGGAAGTCTGACTTGGCCACAGTGGGCCACACTCTTATTATATCAAGGATAGACTACTGCAACACACTCTATGTGGGGTTGCCTTTGAAGACTGTTCAGAAGTTTCAAGTAGTCCAATGGGCGGCAGCCAGGTTGCTCACCAGAACAGCGTAAAGGGAGCATACAACCTCTGTTGTGTCAGCTCCACTGGCTGCCGGGTTGCTACCAACCACAATTCAAAGTGCTAACCTTAGCCTATAAAGCTCTAAACAGTTCTGGTCCAGTTTATCTATCTGAACATATCTCCCCCATCAACCTGCTCGAGCATTAAAATCTGCCGGGAAGACCCTGCTCTGGGTCCAGCCTCCTTTACAGGCACAAGACGAGAGATGGCCTTCTCAGTGGTGGCCCCTCGGCTATAGAACTCCCTCCCCATTGATGTTAGATATGCCCCCTCCCTCCTGGTCTGCAGGAAAAAAGGTTAAGACCTTGCTTTGGAACCAGGTGTTTGGGAAGAAGCCTAAACCACTGTGCAATATGGAATCGACATGAAGCAGCATGAAGACTATGAGATTAGGTGCTATGCTTTAACAGTTTTAATTGTATTTATATGTTTTACTTGATTTGATGTATTACAATGTGGCATTGAATGATTGCCAGAACTGTAAGCCACTCTGAGTCCCCTTCAGGGTGAGATAAAGCGGGATAAAAATATAGTAAATAAATAAATAATTAAACAAAATAGTAAGTACTTACTTACTTACATACTTAGGCGATCCCTCATAGTCTGAGAATGATGGTCCTCCAAGGGTGGTAATCTGGGGGTGGATCCGTAGGTGGCTGTGGAGCCCTATTCTTAATCTGCATCTTCTCCCGCAGTGAGGGCATTGGTTTCCAGGTGGGAGGTGGTCCCGGTCGGGGTTGGCTTGACGCGCCTTCCTCTTGCCACAATTCTCTCTTTCGCCCTCCATCCGTGCCTCTTCAAATTCTGCAGCACTGCTGGTCACAGCTGACCTCCAGCTGGAGCGCTCAAGGGCCAGGGCTTCCCAGTTCTCAGTGTCTATGCCAGAGTTTTTAAGGTTGGCTTTGAGCCCATCTTTAAAACTCTTTTCCTGTCCTCCAATATTCCGTTTTCCATTCTTGAGTTCGGAGTAGAGCAACTGCTTTTGGAGACGGTGGTCGGGCATCCGGACAACATGGCCAGTCCAGCGGAGTTGATGGTGGAGGACCATCGCTTCAATGCTGGTGATCTTTGCTTCTTCCAGCACACTGACATTTGTTTTGACATTTGATTCCAAAATAGTAAGTGTTTAAATAGTGACTAAATGGCCATCTGTTGGGAGGGATTTAATTGTGTTTTGATTGTGTGGCAAGGGGTTGGATAGAATGAGCCAACCCTATGATTCTATGTGTTCTAAGGGAGAACAATATTTGGTGTCTCACACTCTGCAATGCTAAAACATATAGGACTATAAAAGACTAATATGCAGAGATTTTATTCGGAGGGGCAATGCCTCCACTATGGCTACAACCTGCAAGCTGAATAGCCGTCTTCATGGAATAACAGACATCATTTCTTCTCCATCTGATCAAGGTGGAGCTCCATCTGCTTTTCAGAACCACACAAGGAGCAGCCATTTTTGTGTGGCCCAGTTTGAACTGGTGAGGTCAGAGATTCAGAGTGGGACACTTTGCATGCAAAGTGAGAGCTGTCCCTTCCTGACAATTGTCACCAGAGATTTGAGCCAGAGTAAACTCATGAATTAAACCACCCTGATTTGCTAGGGCTACTTACTTTTTACTGCTATGCTGAGAACACTGGCTTTATTTTTAAAGAACTGCCTCTGATTTCCTTTCTAATGGAATTAGACAGCGTGGAATTTATTCCCAAACTGCCTACAATGTGAGAAAACTACCAAGTAAATAAAAAAATACAATCCTCCATCCACACCGGTATCTACAATTTCATTTATCCATATCTGACAAAATGTGCCCTCTCAACAAAAGGTTCCCCCAGGCAGTAAGAAGCCAGACCTTGAAAACTGCTAGGCCATTAAATGCTAATCAAGGTGGCAAACTGCAACATTCATACTTGTGTCAAACAGACAATAGTTCTTTCTCCCACCCTGGACATTCCATGGATGTTTCTAGTTTCCAACTGACCTTACAACCTCTGAAGATGCCTGCCATAGATGCAGGCAAAATGTCAGGAGAGAATGCTTCTGGAACATGGCCATACAGCCTGAAAAACTTACAAAAACCCAGTCCATAGTTTTTCAGACATTTACCCTTGTCTGAAAAAATATGTTGTCTCCATGTTCTCTTACATCTTCCAGTGCAATTCTATGGTATGTTTCCATTGAAAGTTGACTATAGGGTCATGCTGGAGGATCTAGAAATGCCTCGAGATGTCTTCCAGGCTGGCCAGTGTGATTCCATGGTAAGCTCAGACCAAAAGTCATTCATTTCAATAGGGTTGACTGTCATCCACAGTATTGCTTTCTACAGTAAGTCCAACAACATAATAATATATACTTTATTTATATTCTGCACTATTTCCCCGAGGGGACTCGGGGTGGATTATGTAACACAAAAAACATGCAATGCCATTATACAATTAACAAGGACAGACAATACAGAAACAGAGATAAAGGCTTTCCCATCTGTTTCCATTTCCAGCATCTGGAGGCCGTGCTCAACACTGGCCACAGGGAGGTGCTGTTGCTCCATCTTCCTTGTTGTCCGTAGACCACCTTCCAATTGAGTCGCTGGCATGTCCTTGTTGTTGTTCATTCATTCAGTTGCTTCCGACTCTTTGTGACCTCATGAACCAGCCTACGCCAGAGCTCCCTGTCCTTATGGGCACCTTTTATTACCTTCCCACTTAAAGCGGTACCTATTTATTCACATTGCTGTTTGCTAGGTGGGCAGAAGCTGGGGCTGATGGCAGGAGCTCACCCCAACCCGGGCATGAACTGCCAACCTTTTGATCAGTAAAACTTTCTGCAGCTTAGGGGTTTAACCTGCTGTGCTAAGCCCAGCCTGTCATATCCTCTGCCAATATGGGAGTTGTACTGCAGTGGAGAGATTGCTACTTTGAGTACCTTCC